GGTTATTCCTGAAGTTTCCGACATAAAAATGTCGCCCCATCGACTCATTCCACTACCTCCCACCCAACGATATGATATTCCACTCTGAATACTGGAAGGAAAAGCTTCTAGACCCTTCTATTAATTGCTTCTAGAACATTTCCTCTTCAATCCTTTGACTGGAGGCCCTAAATGAACAATGTTAAGGAGACAATACTAAGGGGTTCGCTTAAATATTCTTTGGTTTTCATATTTCTTTGATACTTTTCGCGAGAAATTTCATGGTTGAATAGCTTCATGAATTTTCTCACGATCTTAGAATATGGTAATGACTTTGAAAAGTCTTTTGATGAAGTGGAAAATTGTAGGGCGTCGCCTATAAGTTTTGATTTCTAGTTTGATGGATTTTTGAAGGGAGAAATGACTTGTGCAGCTGAGATTGGTCAACTGATGTTCATTTCCTTGTTGGTTACTTGGATTTCAAGAACAATGTTCAGGTCCGAGGACAATATCAAGGGCGAGTAGCTTCAATTTTGACGTACGATCTTCTTTCATTCTGTAGGAGAACCTGTCTTCCACTTGGAATCGGATCTTCCGAATCTCCTTGTTTGATGAGTGATTTGATGTGAAACTGTAGATAAGAATTTCCTTCGAAAAATCTTCTAGAAGCCAGAATCGATGCTTATTCCTTGGGCTATTCTCTCTCCTTTACAAACTCCCTTTTCATACCATCTTAATGGTCCAGAACTCAGTATTCTTTGTCTCTCCTTGAACAATTCCCCAATTCCTCCTCGAGAATTCCCTATAAATACCCCTCCTCCAACCCTCATTCCTAGACTTTTCTTCTTCACCAAATTACATTCACTTATATACAATCTTTTCACCAAAAACCAAAACCCACCCCAATAAATCAATCAAAATGCAAGGACCAGGACGCGGATGCACTCTCCAAAAGGCCGGACCCGGCCGTGGATGCAATGTTCAAAAGGGACCAGGACGTGGATGTAACGTCCAGAAGACCGCCGGACCAGGCCGTGGATGCAACATCCAACGTGGCCCAGGCCGTGGTTGCAACGTTCAGAAGGCATAAATCATCTCTCCTGAGATGATTTTGGAGGAGCGATAGAGCACGCTGGATATACGACTTTCATTGTTTTCCTTCCGAGACACGAATCGCTCGATACGCTTGCGAATAACAAACACGTTTAACGATGACGAATCGGAACGAAATAGATGCGAGATATTCGAGACAAACTTTCCATATCTCTATCATTTTGCACAAATTTTAGCAATCTCCTCAATGCTGCGCACACGAACGTTCACTTAGATGGGTTTTCTAGAAAAATAGACACTTTATAAAATAGAAAAAGATTTTATCGGTAGTATTGGGCTTCCCATGGTCTTCAATACACACCACCACATTCATTACGGTCATGATACACTTTGGCCCCAACTTCCACCCTTCGATTATCGGTATTCTATACCACTCCACCTTTTTTACACTTCGACACACATAATCGACAATCGACGATGTGATTGATCACTCACATCGTTTTTTCGTACACATTGCGGTTATAGGGGCGAGGATTCTTTTTCGGACAAGCTTGATGACTTCTTTCGTTCCGCAATGGAAGAGGGAATTTCGGGAAATTTTCTGCCGCTCGATATTTTTCGTGGGACGTTGCTGTTCTCTTGGGATGGTGATGCGCCCTTTTATACTGGAGGGAATCAAACTCTTATTTTGCTTTCCCTATATTATGACTTCTTTTTTAATGGTGATATGTGATGTGATGTTATATGATGATGTATGTTCGTGTGAATATGTAATGGTTGAGTATGAAATGTTGATAATTGCATCGGCTAAACCAAGGAGGTATCATGATTTTGACTTGGACTTGTATAACGCCAAATATTACTCCAACATTTCGGCTAATAACGGTCGTCACTACATTCCACGACAGTTAATCCCTCTGAACTTCTAGAGTTCTCGCAATAATTTCAGATATTCGAGTTTCTTGCAACATTCTACTATGTCACCTTACTTGGTCGGGAGAAATTTTTCTTGCTCAAAAGTTCATGAAAAGAGCACATCATCAACGTTGTAAATAGCAGACAAGATAAAATTCTATGTTTTGATGTCTTGATTGTATTCAGGACACTTCATATTCCGACTGGAAATATGTAGCAATGCAGCGAAGAATAATGGAATTGTCCAAGGAATAAATGTGGTATGAGATGGTCTGAAACTGGATAATGAGACATCAAGGGAACTCTCCCGAGAACTTTTTTGGTCGAGACTGATATGATATCATATAATTTCAATGCACGGATTGAAAAAGAATTTGCAAGAATAATACGTGAAGGATAGTTGAAGTGAGATTCTCGCAAAATGAGTGGAAGTCACCTTTGGTGAATGCTCAGATCACACCTGTGGTGTTAGGGTGTTGTGTAAAACATCCATTGATTCATTAATTTCTTCATATTTTTCATAATTAATCGTAGAACCCATGTGCCAGATTGGTTACCCATTCAGCCTGTCATTTTCCCCTCAGAAAGCCTCCGGTTGAAATCCCTTCTCTCCTACCATTCCAAGCCAATTTAAAATCTGGAGAATGGCAACCACTTTCCTCTCAAAGTAATAACGGCCCAGTTGTTTCCCTGCTCATCAGTCTCCTTCTCGACCTTGGTACTGAAAGAAATAGCACTCATAATTCCATCTCCAAACTTCTCGTTCATAACGGCCTTGTAAGCATATCCATAGTTCTGAACAATTTCATACAATCGGTAGATGAGAGGTTCAACTGGAGGCATAGGACCGGCACGTCCACGGTCTGGGAAACCTCCGAGCTCGGCCTCGAGTTTCGATTGTGGTACGTCGAGAATTTGAGAAAGCTTCTCAATGTCGGCGGCAGAGGCTTGCGATTGGCCGTAGAAGAGTGCAGCGACCGCGACTTCGGAGCGGCCGAGTTGGTTGGCGATGGATTCGAAGGTTAAAGCTTTGGTGGCTTTGGCTTCAAAGAGGGTTTTGGAAGAGGTGGGAAGACGGTCGACAAGTGTGCTCTGCGTTGAATGTGTTAGTGGCGAAGAACTCTTGCCAATTCTCTTCATATGGTAGTTGTTGTCCTCAGAAGCGGGGTATTTTTGAGTGAAAGGTATACTTACGTCGAGCGTTGCAATCTTGGTTTGATCAGCCATTTTGGTAGATTTTGGTGATAATTATATAAATTTTTGGTATTTGATTGAAACAATTGAACAGAAAAACAACCTGAGATCAGAGTGATGTTTATATCTTAAGCTTCTTAGCTGTCCTGACTATGGTATTTGTCAATTGCGGGGGAGACGATGAAGCTTGGCCTCGGATAAATTGTCATCACAATTCCGGGACAACTCCGAATCCCGCCCAGAACCAATAATCGGACTTGAGATATCGGTAGTTCAGGTATTGGACAATTGAACAATGGGGGTTCAAGAGGGATGAGGGTATCTGTGGGGATAAGGTTCGTTGCACTATAACATACATTACTGGGGATCCAGGCCAAAGAGACAAAAACAGCTGACTGGTAACATATGGCGATGTAACCCTATAGATGTTTGGATTTGGGTTTATTTTTCCATTGCATTTGAGGATTTGGAGTTTCTTCATCTCTTCATAGCATGTTGACGACTTGTCGTCCTTGGTTTGGCCATGATATCACCAACAACAAACATCCCGAGATTGCTCCCGACCTGTGTCTTGAGTGGAGAAGTGGAGATTTCCGTTTGTCATTCCGTTGGAATGGAAACCAAGATCTTCATCTCAAAGCGTCTCTTTGTTTGCTGACGATGCAATCTCCCTTTTCACCATCTACTCAGACATGCATCATCAAGTACAATTGTCGCGACTACAAGAGCAGACTGAAAATTACTACTACAAAACGATTGTGGGGTCGAAAGTTCGACTGAGAATAACATTTTTATGGCAAATTGGCAATATTGGAAGTGGCCAATTTGGATAGCAACAGCAATTGACGAATGAAGTGAAATGCGAGGGGTCCATGTCAAGATTCTGCAATGCCAAGCGCAAACAAAAGCCAAAGCCACCTGTATGTAGCTTTACTGTCACTATCCGTTAGTAGCGGCCGTGAACATACCATATCGACAGGATGGAAGCGGTATTTTCAAACTCGTCGATGATCATGGACGAGACCATCGGCATTGAATTCTGTTATCTTTCTGAAAAGATAGAATATATTGGTTGCATAGAGTGCGAAAAGTCCCTCCATGAAGCAAAGAGTCCAGGATGAAACCATGGGTATCATACATTGATTGTAACCTTCCTGTCTTCCATGAAGAACGTTGAGAGCTTCTATAAGCTCACACCAATTAAATCCTGCCTCATTTCTGTTGAGGTTCCATTGGGATAATGTTTGTGATATCAAATGAAAAGCAAGCCGATTTTTTCGATTAGCTGATGCCTTTCCCAGGGGAACTGTAACTCTGTTGCCATGCTACACGCATCATGCAAACACGCGTACTGCAATCTAGGTGTCGTTCGGGCCTTTGAGAGATTCTTTGGCACACCAGGTAAAGTATTCTAACATACATAACCAGGAATGGCCGAGATTAAGTTTAATACTTTATCTATGTTTTCTACTAAATCTAATTCCAACCATTTCGAATTAATCAATAATTTCAAGCAATTGGAATGCATCAATCTGTATTTATGGTACAGAATCCTTATGTGGCATATAAAAGGGTCTAACAAAAGCCTGGAAGACCCTTGATCTCTAAGACTGTGCGGATTTTCTTTTAAAACAAACCGATTCAAAAAGTCACACTCTTCTAATGATTATTTTCAGGCCAGCTTCCATCTACCATCAACAAGTTCATTTTGTTTATGCAAATCAACCTTTGCAGCCAAAGGCAATATAATTTTCAATTGATTTAGAACCCTTCTCACCTCTTTAATTTCAGTATCCTCTCATCAACTTTCTTAGTCGGAAGATAGAGAATAACAAAGCGAAGAGAAAAAACGATATAGGATGCCGGAAAATCCGAGATACGCATTGCGAGATGTACCGGGAAAGAGAAATGGTCTTGTTGCAACCCAGGACATTCCTAAGGGTACTCGAATCATTGAAGAGAAGCCAATTATGACGAGGCCTAAACAAGCACCCCCGGGATTTTCCCTCCGAGGTCAATTCAATGCCCTCAATAATGAACAACAGCAAGCATTCCTATCTCTGAAAAATGTACACCCTTACAAGAATGCGGATGAGCAATACTTCGGTATCTTCAAGACAAATGGTCTTCCCATTGGAAGTGACGATGAGGGCGGACTGTTCATTGAAGCTTGTCGGATCAACCACGCTTGCGATAACAACGCCTTTAGCAACTGGAACACGAATATCCGAAAGCACACTATCCACGCGCTGAGAGATATCCACGAAGGCGAAGAGATCACAATAAGCTATCTTGGATCCCGCTCATGGCCTCGCGAAATTCGACGTCAGATTCTCCAAGAGAAATTCAAATTTTTGTGCTCATGCAATCTTTGCGCTTTACGCGCCAGGGAATCCATGCAAATTGACAGAGAGTTGATGAATATCGCTCGGATTATGACTCTGATTCCAGACACCTTTATGAGAAATCCGTTGCAGGGCGTCCGTTACATGGATCAAGCAGTTCAGCTACTCACTGGCAAAGAAATGGGTGTCAGCTTGCTGGGTGGACTTTTTGTTGAAGCTTCTAAGATGAACATAGGTCACGGTGACTTGGCAAGAGCTCGTATATTGGCTGAGAAGGCAACGCCTTACTTGATAATATCATATGGCAGTGACAGTCTACAAGTGCTCGATAACCAGCAACGAGCGAACCATCCATCTATGAACATCTACTACGGCTTGTCATCTCTAGATTGGGCGACACCCGTCCATGATGTCCCGTCAAGTCTTGATCCCAATGGATTTGAAGACTGGCTTTGGAGAAGAGAGGGACTACAGAATTCACTAATTTATTTCGAAAGTCCAAACAGTTTTTTGAGCAACTCCATTTTCCCCTCATTTCCGGAACTTCCGCATAGACAACGGACGAGCCCAGAATTCTATGAAAATGCTGGAAAGTCCAATTACCGACCACGACGCCACTGGTGTTTCTTGGGCGAGATTCTGGAGTTTGACATATCAGTTCTCGCAATTCTGGTCAAAGACGTTGATGACAGAGAAGTCCAGCTCTTACTCGAAACCAATGCACGAGGTATATTTGCTAGACTTCGAAAAGCGCACACGGTTGCAATTCTCTATGCGCAACGTGACGGCAAAATTACAGAACCTTATATCAGCCTTGACAACGTCGCATTACTTCAGGTATGGTACTCAAGTGGTTTCCACTAGAAACCCATATATAGGTCTATATTCAACAATGTGATACAGATCTTCCCAATATCGTTATCTCACTTGATTGCATTAAGAGATCTGACTCAAGAATTTTCTACGAAAAGAGAGACTGATAATGCCAGAAAATGCCATGGATGTGGCAAGAAGTCATCGTCAATGGTTAAATGCAGCTGGTGTTCCTTTTTCTGGTATTGCAATAAGGTTAGTCTAACACAAAGGGTCCGCGATTATGTATACTAGTGCGCATACTAACTATCATGTGCACAACAAACAGAGATGTCAGAAGAACGGCTGGAACACTAAGGGCCACAAAAATGATTGCAAAATCCTCAAGAAGCCTGATTTGCGAGGGATGTTTTTGATGAAGTGGGACGAGTTCAATGGCGTTTTTCAATTTCCTTTGTCGACTGCTGTGAGAAATTAAGCAGGAGATATCCATGGAGCACTTGCCATAGATGAAGGTTCATGATAGAGTGAATAAAACCCGCCATTACATTCTACTTCTTTCTCATGTTGAAGTTTGAGGCACAAGTGCTAGTTCTTCATCTATCCTCCATGCATCACAAAGCTCCTTGGTTACATGCACGAAGGATCAAACCTTCTCCCTTGTTCATTCTTTTATGTGATTCCGCAGTTTTACAAGTCACATGCACCAATAATTCACATCATTTAGAAATCTCACATTCGTTCTGATCAAACAAATTCACTGCAAACAACTTCATTATGGTTGGTTATATTGGTTCATTCTCCTACTACCATTCTCATATTCACTTTCACAAAGTCTTGAAGCCAACCTGATTTTCAGATAAAGAGGTCACGCAGATCCGAAGGCGGACAGTCTGAATAAGTGTATCACGATGACTGGTCGAATGTATGCGAAGCAGCATGTGCCAGGGAAAGGTCTAGGTCTCATTGCGACCGTAGAAATCCCCAGGGGCACACGAATTCTTTCTGAGTCTGCATTGTTATTAGGAACTGAATTATCCGGAGAGGATCTTCGACCTTGCATCTTAAAACAATGGTCTGCTCTCACTCTTGAACAGCGACAGGATTGCTTTTCTTTCGGTCATATGCACCCATACACAAATGGAATCGAACGGCTATGTGCGATTTTCAACACAAATTCTCTGCCTTTGGAAGGAACTTGTATTTTAGAAACCGGCAATTCAGGCGGATCTCAAAATCAACACAAAAGAGCCGGGCTTTTCGCTAATGCATGTCGTATCAACCATGCTTGTGATAGAAACGCCGGAGCGCACTGGATGGAGAGTAGCCAACAAATCGCCGTCACAGCTCTGAAAGACATTCCCAAAGATGATGAAATTACGATAAACTATCTTGGTCTCTTTAAATCCCGCAGAGTTCGGCGTGCGAGTCTTCAGAGAAATTTCGGGTTTGATTGTTCATGTGGTCTCTGCTCCTTGCCAGGAAATGAGAGCAAGAAAAGTGATAGGCAATTGAGTGAAATTCCCAGACTGTCGTCATTCATTTTTGGTCGTATCGCAGCGAGCAGATGTGGAAGGCTATTACGGGAACTTCGTGAATTCGATCAGCTAGTCCGTCTTTATAATGAGCAGGAAACCGGTGTTGCCGATATGGGGCGACTATATGTGGCTATCGCCGAGAGGGTTCTCGAGCATAGCGACTTGGCCAGAGGAAAGGTTTTCGCGGAGATGGCAATATCTAACTTTAAAATAGTCTATGGCAGTGACTGTATGGAAATACAAAAATGGGGGTACCTAGTTGACAACCCTACTGAATACGAACTATTCGGGCATTCAAAGGCATGGAAAACAACAGTCGACGAAATCCCCACTGGTTATTCTCCCGAAATTTTTGTAGCGTGGCTATGGAAAAGAGAGCAAGCGCGTTTTGTGGAACAGGTAGTCGACTTTAGAAGCCGCGCCATTTTTCCACCAACCATCAACTTGCCCTTTACAAGCAACAGCGACTACTACGAGACCAACGAAGCTCATTTCTTCAGGGCACGAAATCATTGGTGTTTCTTTGGAGAGATTACTCACACGACTAAGTTTGGAAAATCAACGTTGGTAGTTAAAGATGTTGATGGTAAAGAGGTCAAGCTCGCATTCAAAACCGAAGAAAGGGGGAGAGAATTACCACCAAATAAAGTCAAAGTAGGACACACAGTTGCGATCATCAACGCAAACCCCCACGAGTTTTCGATTGAAGATGAAAATTATGGTGGAAAGATTGGTATTCTTCATGATGATGAACTTTGTTTGAAGGTAATGTGCTTATCATCTCTATATCTCTTTAGCTCTTTTAGCTGTCTACCGCTAACCATATGCAATAACAAATAGATCTTCACACTTTCTTTGAAAGAGCTATTCGCGTTGAACGATCAAGTCCAAGTGTATTCAACAGAAACGAATGGTCTAAGGATGTGTCATGGATGTCAGAAGAAATCAGCCTCGCTATTCAAGTGCCAGAAATGTTCAATGTTCTGGTATTGCAGTAGGGTAAGACTTGACTTAAACTTCCTTCTCCTTCTCTTTTCATGTTATAATGATGACTTCAATGCTAATAAAGTATCTATAACGAGTAGGCTTGTCAAATAATTGGATGGAGTCAAAATGAACACCAGAATGTGTGTATAATTTTCAGAAAAGATCCTGATTTGAAAAGAATGTTTCTTCTTGATTGGGAGAAATATGATCCTCATGTTCAGTTTCCTCTGCCTGCTTAGATAGGCCGGTAGTTAATATGTATTAAGGAGGATTCAAAACAGAATAGCATCACAATGAATGAGGAAATAGCATGGGTGAAGGTTTAGTAAATCATTCGACCAGGGAAGGTATTGTTGAGCATGAAATTCTGGGAATATCTTGGAAGAATATGCTTTTCTATTACTCCTGTCGGTTCCAACACAAGTTACTCATCCACCCCTACCCGTATCTCCCATTAATTGACAGTCTTTGAATCTCTGCAGTGCTCATCTCCTCATTACGCAATCTTCTAATCCGATTCAGATCCAACTAAGCCTTCACTAGGTTCAAATATCCACTCCATCAAGTTTCCACAACATCCAATAGCCCCAATATCCATCACCCTATTCCTCCACCCAGTACTTCCATATTCACTATCATGCCAAACTCAGCCCCTAACAAAGATTCCAGGACGATCCCACTTCGTCGTACCGACCGAACTAACAGGCGACACAGGTCGAGAACCAAAATCATCTCCATCTTGTCTTCGCATCGACGGTGGTACAGCGCTCAGACCCGGATTACTGACCGATTGACCGATTCGACGTCTTCCCGTATTTGCTCCGACTTTGCTAGCTTCAAGTGTGCCGGTTCCAAGCTTACCGGCGTCGATAGTGTTGCCTCCATTGGTTTGTGCACCCGGCCTAATAACCCCTAGCGAAGATCTTCGTTCCGGAATCGTCCAGCTCAATCTCGATTCCTTCACTCTATCTTGTTCTTCTTGAGGGTTCCGCGCAGTCGACACTTCGGCGAGGGTGTTATGAGTCTTTCTTTGTGCTTGCCGGTAGCTCGCATATCCATTCATGACGCGGGTTGATACGGCGCGGTGAGATGATGAGATGCCAATGGGTCGTGATGCGTGGAGACCGTTTCCATCACTCGCGCGAGGTGCGTATGCACCTCTGGTGGATCGGCGTTGATGCTTTTCGTTTGGAGCGACGGATGGTTTGGATGGTTTGGATGGTCCACAGCCCATTTTGGAGGATATGTGAGGGTGGTTTGGGAAGATTTTGTTGGAATGGGTCTAGGAGTCAAAGTCGTCGACTTTTTATCATGGTGTTTTCGAAGAGATACGGGTAAGTGAATTTTGAAGCTAATAATGTTGAGATTTTGAGTGTGATACTTGATATTCACTTGTGGCTGAATGACGAATTATACAATGGGTAGAATTGCCAATAAAATTCCACGTAACATGAGTAGGTAATTAGAATTCTAGATGGCAGCATAATCTCTACGTCAATGAATCGAGATTAATCCTTAACTCATAAAATCCACTACTCAGTTCCTCTGTCCAAAGCACCAGTTCCACAACCTCGACCAACGATTCATGCCAGCCCATGATATATTGCACTTCCCTAGTCTTCTCTCTGATTTATGCCTCGTATCTTTATCTTCCTCAAAATTTCTATCCGTCTCACACATCTCATCCATCACAGCCATAGCGTCGACTACCAACCATTTTCCTCCTTCCGCCTCCCCATCCCCCTTCAAATATGATTCCTCTTCTTCTTCTATCTTCCTGATCATCTGGGTATTCTTAATGCGTTTGATAACCTCTCGCGCTTCTTCAATCCTCTGTTCTTCTCTAAATTTGCGAGCTTCGAGAAGCATGGGGATCAAACTATTTGTAGGCCATGCGAGATGGGACATTTCTTCCCAGATTTTAGGGTCATTGGTGATTTGTATCTTTTCTATGTCATCACCCCACTCAGCCGTGGCTATAGAGAGAAATGTAGATTGGTCTTTAGGTGTTGCTGCGTTCATTGTATTTGATATCTTTTTGTTGCGATGCATGTACTTGTTTCGAAGCGTTGAAAGGGTTGCGAGGAAACTGGGATTTTGGATACCAAATGATGCGGTTTATGTATGAAACTCAAGAGATCAAAACACTGGAGCCTCTCCTGAAAAATGCATCATCGACCGTGCAACACTTTATCTGCAGTATTTATTCACCAACTACGCAGTAGTATTACGAAATTCTGATCCAAATTTCAATACTCCGACCATTGATGACTCAATCACATCAAGTTTTTCAATCATGACCGTATGAATTTGAATATCCATAAACGTCATCTTGCAACCTGAAATCCGAACCTAGTAAATCGAGTTTGTGTTTTGTGAGCTTCAACGCATTGTATGTTAGATTCTCAATCTGTCTCTACGCTCTTTTACTACCATCCATCGCCCTGCTGCTCCTTCCACCACTTCAATCTTCTCCTAACATTCTCCCATTGAATAGTCTACAAATCCATCTCACAATCAAATATAGTTCCCTCTCCATTCCTAGAGCTATCGAAATGAAGATCATCTGCAAAACGAACCTTTCTCTTTGTGATTCTAATCGTCGCCCTGGAATGGTTAGCAGAAACTTCATTATAACAGTTCAATAACATAACCTACTTCCTAAGATCATCAAGCGATTCCTGTGAGCCAAAATCCCTAACGATTATACTAGACACATTTATTATGCGCTTCATTTTGAATTTGGAAAAGTGATATTTACCCTCCAGGCTTATTCAGAGATTCTTGAGAATCCGTACGTCCATCTTTACTTCCGTGTTTGTTCTTGAACTGCATAATGAGAAGTGAGTGAGGATTGGTCGTGCTATTCTCTGCTGTGGTTTCTGGTTCTGGAGTTGAAAGATCGAGCATCGATTTGGATCTTGGAGGCGATGAGACTTGCAATGTGTTATTGCCAGTTCCACCCAGGAGGTGTGTAGCAGTTTGGAGCTGATTTGGTGCGATGGATTTGCTGCGGGCTCTGGTAGGTTGGTCTTCGGGAGGTGTCAAAGTCGACATTTTAGTGACGTTATTCTCAATCTCAGTAATTTCTTGGTGTCTTTGAGCTAGTTTGTATATTGTAAGAGGAAAGTATTTTTTTGTGGTGAGAAGTAGTACTTAAATGGTCTTTTGGCATGGAGTTAGATTATTCATAAGTTAAATTGTTGATTATTCGCATGATACCACTTACTCATATTCTCAAGACAAGTCTAGTCATACATTGAACCGAAAATTGTGATTAATAAATATTTATAAAATGTCCTAACGAGTGGCCTCAGCCCCGGGTAGATAATGACCCCCAAATATAGAGAGTACACTTGAGCAGCTGCTCAGATACATGTGCTATCAACATCTAACTCTGTACCCATCACCGACCCAACTAATCATAACGAGAGCCGGTTTTCAATTGCTCACCTTGATTTGGAAATCCTTTCGGTACAACTCTCAAGGAAGTAATTACTTCTCCATTTCCCTCGCTAATCAACTGATCAGTAGCCCAATGAAAACCCTGACCGCATCGATATCCACCTGTGATTCTAAACCATCGACATCCTCTAGGACATGTATTACCGATTTTTCGAAGTTGTGATTTTGCCCATGCATCTTGAACGAAAAATTCCTGAGATGCAATATCCATATTCTCAATTCCTAATTGAGCCACAGCCATTTCTTGATCGTGTTGGCTTTCTAATCCTGGAAATGGAGCAAAAGGTGCTTGCTGCTATTGACATCTATCAGTTAGCGATCCTCATAAACTTTCTGATTGACTATTTTGGGATTGGCATACCTGTTGTGGTGATGGCATAGGAGATGCTACACCATATCTATTCTGTCCACCTGTCGATTGAAGCCCCCCGAGACTAGGCATAGGATTTCCGGGTTGCACAAGCGAACGGAAACCCTTTCCTCGAGCAATTCTTTTATGAGCTTTTTGCATTGCTTGATCCTGCTGTGCCTTGCGCCATTCTGGATCTTGACGTGGATCAACATACTGGGCTGCCTGACCACGAGGGTTTTGAAGCTGAGCTCTAGCTTCAGCTTCGTGGGCGTATATTGTAGGTGGACCTTGTCTGTTAGTAGGCATGATGCTAGATGGTGAATTGCCTCCGAATGCTGGATTGGTTCCGAAAGATTGTCTACGTGGTACTTGAGATGGAGGTTGTTGGCCTGGATAAACACGTGGAGAATCTTGAACTTGTCGTTGCAAATGAACTGGTGTTGTTAGAGTTTGCTGAAATCGAGGATGGTTTTGTGGTCCAGGACAAGGCAGTGGTTGCACGTGTGATTGATTTCGGTTAATGAGCTCAGTGGGCCTTCTCGTTTGAGTTTGTGATTGAGTTCGTTCAAGAAATCCGGCTGATCTCTGTGATTCAGATACAGATTGAATTGATTGCGTAGATCTGAGGGACGGCTCGCGCTGTGATTGTAATAGTGGAAAATTCGGTGCCTCTTGGCCTTGACCAATTGGTACTGCAGTAGCTCGTGATTGGGAGTTTCTAGTTTCAGTGACACGGGATAGTGTTTGACCTTTTTCGCTTCCTAAATCAAATTGTAGTCGGTTAGGATTCGAAGAATGAGCAGAACTCGGACGACTAGATGCTGTCATACTTTGATTGGAAAAATGTTGATTTACAGGAAGAGAATTATGAGGAGCTTGGCTCATACCACGACTGGCGGAAAATTGTCGTTGGTTTGCAGTGAGTTGAACATCCATTCTACCAAGACCAGCAGGAGCTTGGCTCATACTAGAACGGGTAGAAGCTTGGTCTGCAGTAAGTGGCATATTCATCCTATCGAGTCCGGTAGGGGCTAAACCTCCTTGTGGAAATCTACTTGGACCACCGTCATCATGACCTCCCTTTGCATTCTTCTTCTTACCTCCCATATTGATCTCTGAACTTACTGAAGATAGAATCAAGGTGATGGATGGTGGCTCGAGGAATTCCTGTAGGTAGCTTGTGATGAATGTAAATTGAAATAATAAAGTGATGACTTTTATAATTAATTGAAGTAGATGTTTAGCCGTGGTGATTGTTTTAAATAGATGGCGAATCTAAGAATCTACATATATACAGGTAAGTTACTACGACAACTTTGAATAACTATTGAGCTACCACTTCATAGGCAACTTTTGCAATTCGAGTTAACAGTAACCAGATTGATATAGCTGTACGAATGATGATGTACTAAGATATCACACCTATGCTCAACCTGTGGTCAGCCGAGAGATACTGCTATAAAGATAAAAATTACGGCTTCCGAAAAATACATCCATTCTTTAAACTCGCTGTGATCACCTTATTTCCACTTAGAAACAGTGACATGAATAAATCTTATCATGTCGATTTCCGGGGCCGTACCCCGCTTCCATACATATGGACAGTAGTAATTAGAATGACATTAGAAATAGCTCCAATAATTATGTAATTAGGACTACAGCCTGAAATGATTAATTGACTAATTATTATCCTAATCAACGTTCGCAATCCACCTCGTCGGTTCGCTTCGACTTACAAGATGATGGTATAAATGAGATGCATGAGAATCTCCGAGGTACTGGCCATGGAGCACTTGTTCTCTGGGTATTATGTGCGAAAAACTTTTGGGTGTATCCCTTCATGATCATAAATCTTTTCATCGTCATCTACCCCTATTGCTCCTCAATCTATACCACCTAACAAGCCACAAAATCAACGCCAGCGTTGACATTAATCTTATGCCAGCACCAATCCAAACGCCCTTCTTCATTGCGTCATAATATCCTTCTAACATGACGCCTACTGCATGTTCCTTCGTCTTGTTCTTTCCTATCAAAGGCCCTCCATTTTCAAGCATTGCAACAGCAGTTGTTTCTCCATCCATTGCTGTTTGATTACCAGTCCCATCGTGCGCACTCCCTCGTAATCGTTCCGTATTTCGTTTCTTGATATTCCGTGTAAGCAGATTTATAATGATCCGTATATCTGGTGAAGTAAAAGTGGGATATTCCCATAACTCAACCGAATCGTGAGGTGGTAATTGATCGAGAAAATCAGCCACCATACCCAAGGTTAACCCCCAAAGTAAGAGTGGTCTGTCACTCTGTGCTTTCTCCCCCCCTTTGAACCAAGTATAAGCTCTTTCAAAGATGCTTTTCTTAGGTTGCGATTCTTCCGAGAAATATTCCTTCGTTGAACTGCAATACAATGATTCACTGGGTCGTAATCGAATGGCCGAGAACCTCATTTTACCAATTATTGGCTTCAATATCGTTTTCACTACTACCCCCCCTTGCTTGGCAAATCGATCGGATACATTGACATATTCGTATGTGCGCACTGAGGGCGAAAGAAGGACTCGGAGGGGAACCCAATGTGTTGATGCTATTTCAGCAGGCTGTAGTTGGAGTGGTGGGAATGCTGGACAGATCCAGATGAAGAGGAACGGACAAAGTACCATTATTCTGTTTCGGAGACAGTATCAGCAATTTCTCTTCAATATTTCCTGCCTTATCGTAGTGAATCGAGATCCATCTGCCAAAGGTAACTCACGGCACTGATCCCCAGCTTGTAGAAACCACCCTTTCAGGCAGGTTCCCAACGTACACACATCTCTCCCCCCTTAAATCCAACCCAATTTCCTCACTCGTTTCTCTCACTGCGACATCTTTATCACTTGCATCACCAGGATCCCTCTTTCCGCCCGGTAGCGCGACATGACTCGTCCATCGATCTCCTTCTCTTGCTGCGCGTTTGATGAATAACAATTCAGGATCACCATTCTTCACCCATGATTGTTCAAAGAAATTTGCAAGTCGCTGGTCCGTTGGTGGTTCTGGATATGGAAAGATTTGAGGAGTTGTAGGAGGAAGATCATTGCGAGAAGGACGAATACGTAATACTAGAGCTACTGATGCGCGCCTTGGACAATTTGGTGGATTAGGTATGTATGGATATGAGTTTTGTGAGATGTGGAGGAGAGTGTTGTGGAGAGATGTGGTAATGGAGGGGGGGGATTCGAAGGACATTTCCCTTTTCCCCGTGTCTCAGGGACAATAAACCGCAGAGCAGGAATTAATGGGATGATGTTGTGATTTGTTGTACGAATATTAATTGACACCGCGCAGAACAATTAAAAAAAATACCGGTGAAGCTGTTCGAAGCCGCGGTTTCGCTTATCTTATCTGAATTATAGGCTGTTCAGGCTGTGACGTGGTGATTAAATGCGCCCGAGTGGGTCACGATAGGCTAGGGATAGGGGAACGGGTGCTAAAAAGCTCGTGGCAGAAAACGGCAGGTAGACAAGTGGATGAGAAAGAAGCAAATTCTGATTTAAATCCAATTCGATTGTTTATATAATATCATTTCCAAGATAGATAATCACACCTTTCCCTTCGATTCGAACTCATCTCTTTCAAATGTCTTCCTTCCGAGGTTATATGCACCATAGTCGTGGGCATGAACGTAGGGCGAACAGCTATCCACTCGCCCCACACAGGTACATATATACCAACCAGCCCCCTTAAATTCGAAAATAAGACGGGTCTGCGTTGGTTCAGCAGGCGGTGTCGGATCCTACACATGCTTTATTTTGAACAAGAACGATTCTGTGGTTGGAATGCCCAGTTTAGTGGAGAATGAACGTCTATCTTCAACCAGAAAGTTAAAATTCAAGTTGACCAAACTTGTAAAGATTTTCGGGTGCTTTGGGTAGTACGACACGCCCTGACTGCATCTGCTGCGAACTGGCTCAGAGACGGAGGACGTCATGAGCCTCCTGGGTATATAGTGGGCATCATCCCAGCTTCATACTCAAAGTTGCGGATCCGATCGTACGGAAGTGTCTTCGTATTGATCCGTTGGGAATATGTTGCTTTTAGCGACACTTTGTTCTTTAATTTGGGGAACCCAGATGCAAAGATGCATTTGCAGAACATCATACATGCATGAACTACCGGTGGGAGCGATGTGTTCATTGCCATTTTAGAACAATATCCATCGTGTCGATAGTGGAGCCAGAAGAGATGGATCAGGTTCTAGAAACCTAGCACTTGGGTGGCAAATAGTGTACCTGTCGATCGATAGTGTACGAATAGCTGAAAGGTAACTCTAAGACAGATCTTAGTTTACATCCTCTTCCGGCAGCTAAACGGACCACCTCTTCAACTTTCTGCGGAATATCAATTCCAACTACCATTTTTGTATAGAACATTGTACCGGACATCATCCGAAGGTGAGCGAGTCTCAACCAATTGTACGATCGATGATGCTCTTCATTCAGCTAGGCTTCTCTTGAAAGACACCGTCGGTGACATTTTGGTACGACGGTTTCCTGGTATAAGTATTTCTAACAGCATGCTAACCATATAATCGGATAGCAGGGCGAGTTTCCGAGTCGAATAGATGTACCAAGCCAAGTCAATAAGTTAGAAGCCATCACTTCGTTAAGCCAGTGAATCTGTCCTTCAACTGATCTCTACTTTTGGGAGGCTTCTGTCGTTGAATTCCAATCATTTGTCGTCAAGAGACTTCGTAGTCGGGATATCGACCGCGAGGATTTCTTCTCGGAGCAGGTGGTGGAGCATCGACCGTAAACTTCACAGTACGTGTAGATAGCTGTTTCGATGACTCAATGAAGCCTGGTGGCCTTTCATAATGTGGGTAATAACCAAACTTTGACTGCAATGGCTGCTTTTTGACAAGCAATTTTATATCATCCTGCGGCCTGGCTGGAGATATTTGGTATTGAAGCCCTGCTCGGGGTTTCTTATTCGGAAGACAACCAAATGCGAACTTCGGTCCACCTTTAAGTTCTGGAAGTGGTCTGATAACTTTTGACTCTGGCTGTTTCTTTAATGATCGGGAATGTTGAACAAGAAGGTAGTATCCAGCAGATTTGTCTGTTGAGACAGGAATTGGAAGGTCCAACCTCATTTGTTCCTGCGGCTTTAGCTTTGGCAATGGCTCTTGAGTCGTGACGAATGTTGCATTGGAGTTTATGAGTCTCAGTTCGTCGTTAAGAGTAGATTCTAAAGATACAGGTTGGAGAAATGGAGGTAGTATCGACCGCCCAAAGTCCGGGTTAAATCCATGAGCACTCGCCATAATTGATTCAAGAAGATTTGATTCTAATCTCTCAGCATTGCAAATTCAAGAAGCAAATTTGGGGAAAGACAGGATATATAGAGAGTATTGGGTCTCAGTATTCGAGATGCAAGTCTAACACAATGTATAGTACGGATTCGAGACGTAGAAGGAGTGAGATTTTAGATATTGTAAGGCACAGTATCAAATGAAACGGTATGGAGTGTGAAGTGTTAGGCTTTTGTACCTACTAGGTAGTCAAATCTGACCTAAAACTAATAACTGTCATGTCCCGCCAGAAAAAACGAGTCTTGATACCAACGATAACCTTGACTAGATTTATACAATAGCATTATGCAATACATTGCACCGTGCAGAATCCAAAAATCGTTATCGCATACAAGCTTTGGACTGCCGATGTCATATACAAGCTTTGTGGTTTCACATCTTGAATCTGACATTCGGATGTTCGTTGGATCTTTGGAAACTTCGAAAGTTAAGATCTCTCGTGCAACACCCGGGATTGCAGCTTGGGAAATGCTTGTAGTCGTTGAATATTCTGACCAATAGGTCGGGATACCTGTTCAATGGTCTTTCAATCGTCGTTTCAGAATTTGAGATGACATTGTTATCTTTGAAAGATGAGACGACCCGAGACCCAAGGGTTGCTGGAGATATATAGGTACCTAGGTAAAGAGATATATTAAATATATGAAGACGGATTAAATTTACGAGTTGGTTAGGGAATCCAAAACACTCTGAAGTTGTAGGATTCCATGGGAGTGGCTTAATGTGGCTGTGATTGTTGGTACTAGCGAGGCCGCGGCCATTGCATTAAGGTTGCACCACTTTTTGTGACCGCGGTCAAATTGTTTCCAACAACAAACCAAATCATCGTAGTATAGGAACCTAAGTAGGTAACAATTCGGATGAATATGTTCTCTGTACATTATTCGATATGCCTTCTGCAATTACTGTATCCGCCATAGACACAGAATCAGCGATATGTTCAGTGGAGAGCTCGGTTCAAACTGTCTTCGCAATCCCTGAACTTCTAGAACTCATCCTCCTCCAGCTACCATTTCTCGATCTTGTTCGAGCGCAAATGATTAACCCAAACTTTATGATGTTATCGAATCCTCAAACTTACTACAACAAGCTCTGTTTTTTCGTGCATCTCCAGCTACATCATTTCCACGACCCAATCCTCTCCTTCAACCTTGTCATAACGCTCAGTTCCTAGACCTACGATCGACTCAAACACTATGCAGGTATTTACACAACCCACGAGGTCGGCGGATGGCAGATTGGAGCAAGTGGCCTGCTATAGATTATCGAGATGGATTTAAGTTGAATATACAACCTGCAAATGAGGCTGTCAGAAGGAAAGAGGCTAGTTGGAGGCGTATGTTGATTGTTCAACCACCCATTGAAGAACTAGAAATGAATGGCCCACCATCGCAAAAGATTAGAGATCGATTTGGTGTAACAATGGATGAGCTGGGAAGCCCATTAGGCAAACTGAGATGTGTGGATTTTGAAATCTTTACAAGTGGGAAGTCTCGTATGATTGTTGAGAAGCAAATGAAAACGTATGGCCCAGTGACAATTTGTGTTTCCTGAGCTATTCTTAGTCTTCAATACATGCAGAGATATCAATTTGATACTCCTTGTTTATTCTGTATAGGGAAATCAGGAGCATTCCTCTCAAATGGTTGAGCGTTGATAGCTTCAGTGGTATGTAACTTCCACATTCAACGGCAGTAGATGCTTGACACAAAATAAATAACTGTTCGTACATTTTCACTCTGCCTCAATCCTTCCAGCAAAGTTTCTTTCACATGGCTACACTGGTTTTGATACTCTTTGTACAATGTTGTCGTCATTATTCCCAGAACATCTATGTTTCCCCTTTATGTCGATCACTGAAATCGTCAGGTGAAGAATTTGAATGATCATTATCTCAGATTGCAAACTCTAAAATGCTCTCGTGAAAACAGGATACACACTAGTCATTATCTTACATTTTCCCGTCGAGATTTGAGATATCATCGTTGAGCATCAGGAACTCCATTCCATACAATGCTTCAGTCCCGATCATAGCCGGTCATCACATCACCAGCTAAAGGCGACAGATGTTGATCTTTCCTAGAACTATGATGACTAGGCTCATGAGAATGTCGAGATCTATCGCCATAGGGAGATCCTGTCCGACTTCCATGCCTACTGTGTTCTGGCGTCCTCTCTCTAGAATGCGGCACACTTCCAGAGCTTAACAGACGCCTCACCCCATCTCCACCTCTTAAAAATCCAACCATATCCGCAGGTCTTTTTCCTTCCTTATCTCTCGCCTTTGGATCTGCACCTGAATTTATCAATTGTCTTACCATGTCTTCCTTCACTTTGGCATGTACTCCATCAATAAAGTCAACTCCAGCGATCGCTCGATGTAATGGACCTCTTCCCTTTTTGTCCCTGACTCTTACATTTGCACCGCTATTAATCAAGACTCTAACAGCCTCAACACAATCGTGTCGACACGCCAATAATAATGCTGTAGATCCTTTCATATCCCTGGCTTCAATATCTGCACCCTTTGCTAACAAATATTTGATTGTATGCGGATGGCCCCATCTAGAGGCAGAGAGGAGTGGTGTATTACCCCAACCGTCTCTGGCCTCCAAATATGCTTCATATTCTACCAAAAGCTTCACCATTTCCAAATCTCCAATCCTCGCCGCGATATGAAGAACAGTCTCTCCGCCTTTTGGTGCCATCGAAGTGTCAGCTCCAGCCTCCAGTAATAAATCAGTTGTTTTCACATGATGTGTTTGTACTGCCGCTATCAGAGGCGTAATATGTTGCGACCACACATTCACGTCTGTCTTCTTTACTACATCCTTATGGCGGGAACTTTCTGATCGTGGACGACGTGGAGGATCAAGGAGAATATCAAGAATCTCCATTTTTCCTGCACCACTAGCCGCGACGAGTGCTGGCGCCATATCTATCTCGTGATCTTGGGAAAGAATATTTTTGACTGCGCTTGTATTACCCTCATATGCTGCCTTTGCCAATTCGGTTGATGGAGATGTGGCTTTCTTCGAAAGGTAAGCGGTGACTTCTTTTATCGCGATCGGCGCGAAGGTCTTGATGATAGTGTCCATCTTGGTTGGGATATGATTATAGCAATTGTTCTGGTGGATTGCTCGCGTTGATATGTAAGATGCCCTGCTACACAATGTGTGACGTCCAGAAAATGCAGAGCCACAAAGCTGCTAGTAGCTTTCAATTGATTGATTCGAGACAAAACATCAGGATTTTTGAACGTGTCGCCACATCAAATCATGAATATAACCGGGTGAATCTCGTGTGTTTCTTCCATCTATCCAGGCAGAAGGAGATTTCGAAAGTCGTTCAATTAAAACCAGCTGACTATTGAGGATATGTCTTGGAGATGTATCTGGATCATACGATGTCATCATCTCGATATGCAACATTCCAGCCCAACCCCGCGAAAATGACAGAATGCATGGGTCAAAATGTATACAGAGAATATGATTCGCCAGGTGATTGTCTTTAAGACAAGTTTTGTACAACATCAGTTCAGCTGTAGCCTTGGCTCATCGTATGATGAGAAATCACATGGTCGGGATTGTGGCTTTCGGTTTGATTTGTTTGATGTATCAGATTCATGTGATGATTTCGAGATATCTGGGCATTCAAGTAAATTACATTATAGAGTTATTTTCTTTCTTGGATGTGAGAACTTTCTCAATCATCATTTCAATCTATTTTGAATGATGGACCAAAATATCTTTATTACAATCGTGTTCAAGATATATCATCTCCGATTAACACTCCATTGAGCTATTTTTTAGCCCAAAGGTTGTTACCTCGACGAACGAGGAGCCTTATAGTATATCCAGTAAGGGTCTCGTTTATATAATCATAGCAAGTCGATAGAACGGCTTCCTTGTCAAAGGCATAGGTACCTAGTACTCGACACCGCTTATAGCATGATCAGAATTGTTAACAGCAATCACCTTTACCCCACGCTATAAAATTGATCCAAGCGAAGCATATATAAATGGCAAATCACTCTTCTTACCTATAAACTATCTTCATCATTCTTCTCCGTTGCTTCCAGATGGTGGCGCCAGTGCTTGGCAAGCTCGTCGTTATATTGAAGAATACCAGGACTTCATTTACACGTTTACACTCCACGAATTGTTCAGTAACTTGATGCTATTACAGAGAGTTTCAGATATCAATCACATGATCGCAGAGGGCAATGTGTCAGCTAGCGAGGTGCTAGCGCTTCCTTAATGATTGATTGATTGATTTAATTAATGTCCTTTTCTCAGTCCAAGACTATTTAGGATAGCTAGACTTTAAGAATCTAATAACTACTAATAGATATTTATAGTAGATATATTCAATTTGAGGGAGTAAAAACGAATACTGGGGTATTATACCCGATTTCTATTCGGAATATAAATAGAGATTAAATAATCTTTATTCTTTAAAACACTTCTTTTTTTACTCTTTTTCTATCCCTAATCCAATTAAAGCATTCCAATATCCAATTTCTCTTTTTAAAATCCTAAATCCAATTTATTATCTCTCCCTTTTTATAAAAGACAAGAATTATCTCTTTCCGAGTTGTTTTTAATATAGTAAAGGATTCTTTTGCTAATGAGGTAACAGAAAAAGACATCACTCTTCTCTATCTTTATCTTTTTTTAAATTATCTTTTATATATCTTCATAAACTTAATATCCTTCAGCTCTTATTAAATATGTATAGTCAAAACTATTGAAAATAATAAGGCAGGGCTGAATCCTAAGCCCTATTGCCTACACACAAATCAATTCGGAAAAGTCGAAATTTGAAAATTAAAAGAAAAACATTATACTATATCGATATCCAAAGCATAGTATTAATTTGAAGGCAATAGCATTTTCTGTATTGTGTTGTTATAATATTCGAGTGATTAAAAGTTAAAGGGTATAAAAAAGGGTTGTAATACAAATAGAGCAACGATAAGCTCTATATCGAAAAGATTTTTCTAAAAGAAGAGATTTACTATATATTATATTTCTATAGTTGAAATAATAATCGATAATAGATATTAAATCTAATCGGGGGTTTCGTATCTTTATATCCATATCTAAAGCTGATATTCAATTTTTCATAGATATTGCTATCATAAAATCATAATATAATCCTTTGCTATATCTCTGAACCTCTTTCCTTTCAATTCTTTTAATTCTATCTACGATTCAATTTTAGCTCTGCAGACTTTCAAGAGAGAGCTGGAGGTTCGTAGGATGCACCGCGTACAGGTATTGAGTCTTCGCATCCCAGCGCTTCCTTAATAAGTACCAGCTTCCAATAATTAATCATGACCAAGAACAATTACAACTGTAACAGGCTAAAGTAATTTACACTTATAAACCAGATACCAATAGTGAGTTTAGATGAGAGGAATTTAGCGTTGAATGAGATAGATCCAACGCCCAGATTAGCGAGTAAAGTTATATTGATGACTTCAAAAACTACCTCTTCGGTGGGTCCTCTGCTCTGGTGTCGATTATGATTGTCTCAAAATATGCAACCGTCAATAATGAATAGACAATATAAACTCACCGCGCTATTCATAAACACTAACACGCGTATGTGAGTAGAAATCGGGTGGTCAAAAGTCACCATGATAGCTAGCGGGCTCGCCTATCCAACCGAACGACTAAGAATCATTAAGTTCTCACTATATTCGTTACATACTAGGTACCTAGGTACTTTACATAATAATTCACATGAATTCTGATCCGCTTCTGATATGCTGCTACTTCTCATCAATCTCGTAATTTTCTTTTCTGCAATATCTCTGGTTTTGAGTCAAAGCTCTTTGCATCTTCCGTTCGGAGGACGATTGCCGGCTTGGAATCACTGCATTTTTAGACATACTTTTTCTTGGTGAAGGGATTCACTGTCCTACATGTACACTGGCTGGTATTATTCATCGAAAGATAAATTTTTCTATAGTTCCATAGTCTCAGTAAGATAGTCGTTGGAATGCAAGCCTTCGTATTTACTCTGAGATTTCCTCGTCTCTTTAAAGACTCGGATTACAGGCTATTATAAAAACCTGTGTAAGGATTCGCCCTAAATTTAATATATAATCTTTAGAAATAATCAATATATTTGTTCTCTAAGATTATGTATTTAAAAAAAAAGTAAAGTGTTTATAATTAATGTCGATTCTATTTAACTATTGAACGTGGTTTATTAGTATATAGATTATATTAATATAAAAATCACTTTAAAAGTATACTAAAACTGAGCTTTTCTAAATAATAATAAAAACCTAGCTTTCTAAAAATTAATTTTTTTATATAAATATTCTTATTATATTCTACGATAAATTACTCTTGTGTTACTAAAATTGACTTAAATTTACTCTCGTACTAATTAGATTCTATAATAACTAGATTCTATAGCTTTTAGATTAAAATCTATATTCTAAATTAGTATTCATAGTAGAGATATAGAATCTATATATAAAGATGAGAGCAATTTATCTTATATTCTAAAAAGATAGAAATTATCACGATTTTCGGTTTTAAAAAACTTTTTTTCGTAATAACTACTTTACAAATTCGAATTTCTAAAACTAGTTAGATTTTTCTAATTCATATGTATATTTAGATATTTATATTAAATAATAAGAAAATTTTACTAATAAATAAATAAATAAATAAAGTATATAATTATATATAAATAAATCTTATATATAATAAGATAACCTATATACTAATAAATCACATTATTTTCAGAAATAAGGGTTCAGGCCAGTGGAATACATATATATTGACTATGTAGATTGAATCGTCTAAAACTAGAATCTAACTACGAAGTGGAAACGATATTCATATTTTGCTAGTGTACGTGCTATATCTTTCCAACACAGTATAGACTTGATTTAGACTTTATATCGAAAGTTGTAGCGCGTGTGCTTAGCTACAGCGTATATATTATTTCCACTTCGTAGTTATATTTGACCTTAGTAATCTATATAGTCAATATTACATGCATTCCACTGGCCCTGCTCCTTTATTGTGAATACTTTAGACTTATATTGTAGATATTACTCCTCTTGATGTGCAGATCTTTATAGAAGTTTGCTGTAAGAGTCACTATGCTCATCGAAAAGCCATGATTAGACTAAGAATGCTCCGTATTCCCACAATTACCCTTTATTCAATAATCACAACCCGAGGGCAATTGAGACTAAACTCTCCTGTGCCTTGAACATCTTTGTACAAATCAAAGGCCTCAACAGAACTGGCTGCCATACCAACTCGTTTAAATGTTTCGTCGATTTTCCTTAGTATAAGTGCAAAATATCGTGAAGTATCCTCCGGAGAGGGATAGAATAAGAAGTATTCCATGCCTCGCGCATGTAAGCAAAATAAAATTTCATCGATATCTTCGTCAAAATAGACACCCGCCTCGCTCATGCACGACTTGGTAGCTACAACTTTTCCCTCCCTCATTTTCCATGACTTGAGCACTCCTCTTATCCCCTAAGGTCACCAGTGGGTGCACGGACTCACAGGACCACTGAAGAGGAAAAGCACAATTTCACACCAAAAAGAGCTGTTTTAATAATTCAATTAAAACTCAAAATTTCAATAAATTTATTTGAAAATTAGAGATATAGATCTAAAGCATACATATTTTATACAATCTCAAAATTGTATTGAAAAGCTCAACATTAATATTTTTATAAAAGAATATATAATCCCCCACCAAAATTTCTGGTGAGAAAACGCACTATTCGCTTTTTGAGCTCAAATCTCAATTTATTTGGATCACTTTTGAGTCAATCATTTTTTCATACTTGAAAGCTATATATCTCAATTTCAAGAGAATTTGATAATAAATGAATTTTAATCAAATTATTATAATCACTTATTTTGGTATGAAATTGTGCTTTCCTGTCACGTTGTCCCGTGAGTCCGTGCACCCACTGGTGGGTGTCAATTTCGGGCGCCCTCGCTTAACAGGGTCTTATTGACCAATCAAAACATCAGGATTCTGAGAATTCTCATAATTTCAATATGTTTTTTTGAATTAATTATCGAATATTTAGAAATTTAATAAATATAAATAGTATGTTCTTTATACTTATATAAAGCCTTATATATATCTTTATTTTATCAATAAATATTGAGTTTTTGATTTAATAATATTTTTTAATTATAAATTATGAAAAAATCGTTTATAATTATTTTCTATTTTAGAGGATGAAATATAATAATATTTATAAAATCTTCCCCAATTCTTTTTCAATAAAAAAGTTTTAGAAATATACTTGGTTTATTTATTATTACTTTTCTTATAAATTTAATCTTTAAGTATAATATAAAGACCTTTATTTATAATATTATTCTTGAAGTTATTAATGTTCTTGCTGAACGCACGGGCCACATCGGGCGCCCGAAACTGGCACCTTAGGGGATAAGCAAAGAGCCCTTGACAACATCGCCGAACTCATTTGATGTGGGACTGTACGTCATTCTTACGTCGTCGACTTCAAGCGGGATCCTGGGATATGTCCGAGAACCTAAACGGGTTGTGACAGGGTCAATATTTCCAATCTGATCGGGATGCCAGAACTTAATTCGTCCGTTTACTGAAGCCCAAGACCAGGATGGTGCTCGATACAAAGTTTGACGAGAAGATGGAGCTTCAGCGTACCAGAAGATTTGTGTTCTCAAATCAGAAGCCCACAAGCCTGCCAGATAGTTATCACCTGTCTTTGGTTTAATCCATTGTACACATCCAGAGACAGCTCTCAACTCATCACTATCATGTGTGGAGTTCGGCGAGAATAGAACTCGACAGATTTTTGCCAATAGTCCATGCATGCTTCGCTTTCAGATGCGGCTCGAGTTCTCGTAATCTTTTGACTAGTAAGATAATCTGAGAGACGACCGGGAGAATCTTTGTGATGGCCGGTAAGGGGATTTAATGGTCCATTCGAGTTGATCAGTATCGAGGCACAATACCACCCAACTTGGTCCTTGTAGAATATAATCGTTCTTGGTGATAGGACACGCTCTTGAAAGGTCCATCCACGAGTATTCAAGGGTTCATTGATGCGATCATTGCCTTGCTGATTGTTCTCAAATACAATACTAGCAGTACCAAGAGAACCGTCCTCTAGGTCATATTTAATGATACAATCTGACTGCATCTCTGGATTTGTCTTTGGGCATTGAAAGATTCCTTCATAAACAGACCCAGCTGCAGCGGCTGCAATGGTCAAGGTAGCACTCCCATACACCTCGTGCATTGTTATAAATTCACGTCTCAAGTCTTCCCCATCGTCGCCTTCTTGAATGATACACAGAGAGTCGATCCAAAGGAACTCGAACCCAAGATTTCGAGTAATCTGAACCGCGTCTTGCAAGGTTTTTAGGTAGAACAGGCATTGGGAATATTACGCTCATATTCGGTAGTTTTGTCATTTCCTTGGCGAGAAGAATGTTTTTTCGCCTTCCCCAACAGTAACTGAGGGCGATATAAGCGCCTTCGTAACCAGCCGGTGGAGTGAAAAGTGCTGGCTCAAGCCCATCATGAGCACCAACTCTGATGACGCGAGTTGGTAGGCGAGACATCATAGGGGAATTAATTGTGCAATTCGGATGGCAAAGAATGCACTTGTTTAACCATGATTCAATTAATCTTGAACATTCTTCCGAAGCAAAATCCGCAATGAAAGGCCTTCTCAAGAAAGACTTAGCTGCAAGATCCTCTATTCATTTTAGTTTTCTATAATTCTATTTACTGGAACAATATAACTGAACAGCGGTTGTTAAAAGTGCCAGTGTGTGAGAGAAAGGGTTGTCCACATCTCTGTCGCAGCCGTTCAGAATTCTTATAGACTCGATATCCCCTACATTGGGAGATGCAGAAAGATTCAACGGTAAAATTCGACGGATACCATGTAGACGCACAGGCATTGATGGAGGACCGAGATCAAAATTCTTCTCAAGTAGGATACAAAGAGGGCAACCAGACTTCGCAGCGGCAAGTATTTCACTTGGTGTTCCATGCGTGAAACCGTTACTATTTCGCAACGATGCAATATCCAGTGCTTGGCATTTGTAACAAAGCTTTGTATGTGGATGTTTTGAGGATAGAATTGTTGAATCATTTGACCTTAATGATAGAGATCTAAGAGACTCTGTCAGAGAATTGATTACGAGATTTGCCTTTTGCTTCAGATCCATATCTTCGAGGATGCGGTCAAGTTTGCAGGTCAGGCAATCAATAACACCTTCAACATACTGAAGAACCTGTCGTTAAATTTAAGCCGGATTTAATTTGAATTGCTGGTAACACCACTTTGAGGCTGTATTATCTGTGGTACGAAAAGCGTTTGACGGTGGGAGTTATTGGATATACATGCACGACCAATTGCGATGCGAATGCAATGTGCCGTACAAGCGCGAATGTAAATCCTTCATATTTTCCCAAAAGAAAAGGGGAAACTGAATGGAAGTGACCCAATTTCAGAGGGCGGTTCAAACCATGATTTAAAAAACTACAATCCTTACATCAAGCGATATATTTCCAGATTTTCTACACTGCAATATGACAAAGTTCAGACACAAAAACTCGTTGAGATATGCAGTATGTATACTGCCACTCAATCAGATTCAAGTAGATATCTATAATCATAGGAAAATAGTATTGGCCATGTAACCAACATAACTTCCTCAACAATGATCCGAGAAGAGCTAAGACTTCGCCATCAGTAGGTATCAACGCACTTTCGTCTGAGACTAATAAGAACATCTTTGGGGGATGAATCTCCCAGTCTGGAACTAAGAGAACTAAAAGTGAATTGAATCTTTAATTCTATGCGCAATGAACGTTGAATATGATACAGAATTAAAGGCAGACAATATTGATACAACATGAACCCCCTCGTCGCTTAAAAAAGGACGCTCTAGATTTGCCGTAGCGAATCTATGAGTAGTTTAATTTGGATGAATTTAGTTGCGCATAAGAGAAGTTCTGAATCTACAGCAAAAAAATAGGTTAGCTTGGAACGGCTAATTGCTGTAAACTTGGATGTGGTCAACTAGCAATATACCAGTGTTTAGTTCAAAATTGTCGATTTAGGCAATTAAAACTGCTCCATGACGTCGGCTATCTTTAGACATAGTCCAAGATCCGGAAGTGAATCTGGAAGATAGTATGGTTTCGTTTTTATCGTGCAATTGCCTGGGAGCCAGTGGGTTAGGCAGTGAATACCTTATCTGCAATGGCTTCATGTATACATAGTCCCTGCCCGAAGGACAATCGTAACTAACAGACAGCCGTATCTTCTCGAATGATCAATAGCATACTCCCTAAATAAGCTATCATGGGCAATAATAAGAGCAGAGTTTGAGGATACAAAGCCAAAGCACAAGCGATTGACCAAGAAAGGACCCTCCGCACACGCCCCAACTAGCCCCAATAATCCAAAAATAAACCAGATCATTCTAACTTCCACAGAGATTCCATCAAATAGGGAGGATCTCGAATGGATAAGCAACGCGGGAGCTAAATGCTCGTAGGTTCTCGAGAGCCACGAAGAGAGACCCTTGACGACCCCCAACGAAGCTTTTACACCTCCAACGCCCTCACAGCGGTACCATTCCCCTCCCAATCGAAACGCAAAAACAATATCTGCGACAGAATTTGTACGTTACCACACTCTAAGATAGATTCGGATATAAGATTACTGACTTTTTCTCTGGTACTTTAGCCAGTATTGACCGATGAGCGAAATGAGGGGGGAGGTGAATGATGATATGAAAACTTAGCGAGAATGTTTGGGGGATGGAGTATAATATAAATGCTATCTTGCCTTTTGAGGTCTTTCTCTGTGGTAGGGATTGGTAGATTACCGTCCATTGATTTTGGGATCGTAAAGATGACAACTACTCATGTGCATTGCGAGGCTAGTAATTAGAAATATCTAACAAACCTTTGCTTCGTAACATCACGAATAGGGCAAGATAACAATAGATTACACCTCGTCTATATAAGAGTTAAGAAGTGAATAAGATTGGGCTGCAATACTATTTGCTATTACTTCTAGATGTATGTAACAAGAGCAGGAAAGAACATGCTAGACGACGGTTTCACTTGCAAAATGGGTGTGTGAGTTTAAAGTGTTAAGTTCGAATGTGTCAGGTATTCCTGAAGATATAAATCTTCACATAACACTTACACGGCTGCCGCTCATCAAACTGAGGTCATCCATCCCATTACATCCCAAGCTCTCCATCTCAACCAATAAATTATACAGTGTCATAATACCAAAATCTTACGCTCTTGATCATACATACTGCAGTCCGTTCTCACACTTTTCAAGGCCGACCCTTAACGAATTATAGTATAACACAGTCCAAACACCCTTAGCCACCTTTTCCCGTTACCGGCGTTCGCCTTCAGTGGATCTTCTTCCTTCACTTTGATACCATATTCTTTGATATAACACTGAAAAGGCTTATTTTTGGGCTTAAGGTCTTGTGGTATCTCCACCTGCTCGGCCCGCTTCTCAACTTCGATATTAGAATCTGTCTCCTCAAGCACGACAGGTCTCTCGGGTCCTTTGGTTTGATTTTGTCGGATCAAATCATCGGCTTCGTCCTCTGAATCCACTGGAAGACTGTGATTAGTTTTTCTAAGATCATTTCCTTCGTCTTCAGATTCTGAATCTGTAGCCCTGGAAGCCTCGGGCGCCACTTTTTCTGCATCTGGTTTCTCGTGGGCTTTCTGCAAAAGCAGAGCCGACTTTTGCTCCTCCAAATCTCCCCATAGCTTAAAGAGTGTTTCTTTAACATCTCTAAGAATTCCTGGATTTGTTCGTAGGCTTCAACGGTATATTAGCTTTACTTGTTCTAGGTAGACAAACAAACATCAGAGTTGAACATACTTGCAAGCATCGCCTTGAAGATTGAGTAACATCTGCGCATCATAATTTTCTACCCTAAGAATAGCTCTCTCTTTAGAAGCATTTGGGTTTGCATCTTCGACTACAAGCGAGAAGAACCATTCCCATTTCCTTTCTACGTAACCCTTGCCTTCGCGGAAACTTTGCATATCTTCCATTCGATCATCATCTTCATCACCACTATAATCAGATAACACGTCGAATTCGCTGATTTTACGACCAACTGCGAAGTCGGCAATATTGTGAGGTAAGTAATCTACAACCCGAACATTTGCTTTGTAGATATTATTCTCGAAGGGTGCGTTAATTCCTGCGAATTTGGGATCTGAAGAGATGGGCGACGTGCGTTGCAGAATACTTGACAATGGTATTATGTCTCTTGCAGTCAGAGAAGGATGTAGCATCACTGTCGAATTGTTAGATATTAGACCATTATAGCATGAAAACTTACCATTTTCGTTCAAGTTAAGCTCTATAACAGCTTTCATCTCGCTGGAAGCACTTTTAGCCTCTACCTTGGCTCGCAATTCTTTCCTTCGCGCTTTAGAATTTTTCCCGCTTGGTTGTCCCTCTGCTTTGCGCTTGGTTCCTGCCCCCGAAATTTCTTCTTGGAGTCTCTTTCTTTCCTTCTCGTGCTTTTGGGTCCAATCACGCTTTCGTCGAAGACAGTCTTTCCATCTGGGATCATTGTTCTGAGGATCTTCAGAAGTTTTCATGATCTCGACTTGAACTTTACCATCAGATGCTCCTCGATCGCCACGAAGCTTACCCTCCATAAGACCTGCATTGCCTGATTTAAATTGGACATTAGTCAAGCGGAGCCACTGGCCTTCCTTAATATTTTCCTCTCGAATAAACATGGCATGGGCGTCGAATAGTGTGAGCTGAATGGTCATTTTCCCGAACGGACCTTTCCATTCTTTTGCTTCATCTTTGGGCTTCGCTTTGATATATCCATATTCATCGCCATCGCGACCTTCCATCACGACACTCGATAGCCCCGGTAGTGTATAGTTGTAAAATTTCGAGTGAGCTGTGTAGTCGGTAAAGTAAACGGTGACCATATCGTTATTAGCTCCATAAATCTTTCTCACTTCACCTATGATGTCGTGAAACGAGCCGTCTTTGACATCTTTAAGTAGACTGAACTTATCCCTGACCTGCAAAGCTTTTTTTGCCTTTTCCTGAAATTCTTGAGTACCAGGAAACTCAACTTCGTCAAGATGTTGATTTGACCATATCACATACTTAGTCTCGATTGGTTCTGGACGTCGGCATCTTGCTGGTGGTGTTGAAATCCACGAAGCTTTGATGACGGGGAAAATAGCTTTAGGGATGTGCTCAGCATGGAGTATGTGGTATTCGGTACTAAAGTGAGATAGTAACTGTATCTCCCCATTACGCAATTGAATCTTGATTCGTCAATTGGTAGCCAAATGGTATACAAAAGGAGAGAGAAATACCTTTGCACTCCGGATAAGCACAGCATCCTTTTGCTTCTGGATTTTTGGCATCTTGTCCTCTGTTGCAAAAACACTCATCCTCAAGCCGAAGCGCTCAAATCGCGAGGAATAATCTTTTATTTGAAAACTGCATTTGAAGTCTGCATAATTGTGTCAATATTGGCTGACTTACACAGCAGAAGTGGATTCAATCATTGTCCGATGATCACCTACCTGTTCCTTTGGTTTGGATAGGAGGTTGATGATCCATCACAAATCCTATTACATTGACAAATTGTGGCTTTACAACTCCACCTGGTAGAATTTCAAAACTCTTAATCTGCTCAATAGTCTGAAAGCCCTTGGGAGTGACGACCTCAGGCTTGGCTATCTCCTCCATCTTGTCGACGTTTTGCATATTGTCCATTCTTGAATACTTCAAGAGAGTCTTGGCGACACTTCACAATAGCACTTCGCAAGTTGTGTTCCTAGCAGTGATGCCCCCTCACCCTAAAAAAGACAACAAATTTTTGTAGTTGCTCATAGATCTGGAGATATGAGCTTTTGGCGTATGTAGCAATTGAATACCAAGTAATCCTTCTCATGTAAAGTATATTTTCATAGCTTACTTGCCCTGTCCTCTTCCTGGTGAATAGATACACTGAATTGATCAAATCTGAAGTACCTAATTCCCGCTCGACAAATGAACAGTAGTGAATACTGCTATTGCCCTAAGCCTCTAGTGCACAGGAAATGTCCACGGGTATTGATGAATGGCTCATTCAAACGTATGGAGCGTCTGCTTCCTGCCGTACGTACTTGCTCTTTCCCTATAGTCTGTTTCGCATTCAAGATATACCTAGTAAAATTACTGTTCCAGTCTTTCGTGTTTTTGCCAGGTATTGCGAATATCCTCTTGCTTGTACATCCGTAAGAATAGACGCGTTAATTGAATCTCTGTGTGTAGGTAGACGCGACCAAAAGCTTAATAAGAAACTTTGTCACATGTCATGTCATGACATGTCAGAAACCGTCTAACCAATCACCGTGAGCCAATCAGAAAAAAGAATGAATCGTAAGAAGCAAGCTTCGAGTATTAGTCACCATTGATGTTTCGCTAAGATCACGTTTCAAACTAATCTTTACCGCTTTCAGCTTGGAGGCGGATTGTTCCTCTTCTATTCTTTTGGGGCCTTCTTCTCAAACCATTTAGAACCCAAAGAATCTTCTATAATTTTTCCCCATCTCTCTTCATTCACTACAACAAATAAAATCAAAATCCAAATAAGATTTTATCCTGCGGCCTAACTGTAAAGGTCGTTCCTTATTTAAGCCTCCTACTTTATTTTACAACACAACAAAACATATCACTCTCAGTCATATCGCAAGCATGGCTGAACGTTATATCCCAGAGCATCGCCGAACTCAGTTCAAGGCAAAGAACACCTTCAAGCCTGAAGAATTAAGACGTCGTCGCGAAGAACAACAAGTTGAGATTAGAAAAGTCAAGCGTGATGAGAATCTTGCAAAGAGAAGAGGTATTACAGCAGGAGATGGATCTTCACGACCTGGTGCCTCTTTGGGTGCTGAGCCTGATAGTGATGATGATCAACCTCCCACGGAAAGTCAAGTAAGTCAAGATCGCACAATCTTTTCCGTTTAACCAGCACACTATTCGCACAATACTCGACCTTTACGATTTTTACGATTGTGCCAATACTTCTTCGATATACCCCACCACTGTGAACTTCCTACATAGCTTTCAAACTATTTACTTTCCTTGGTGGGGTAGCAGCTGTGTCCTAGTGATAATGTTTTTCGCTTCTGCGATTGACCCTCTATCACAGCTTTATCGCGAGTCTCATTGCTAGGTTTTGGTTTCACAACTTAAACACATATTTGTTCCTTATCAAATACCCTGTCCATCATGGCTAATCAAAAATTCTTTTAATAGTTGAACGATGACCTTCCTTTAATGGTACAAGGCGTATTCTCAGAACAAATCGATGCACAAATTCAAGCCACAACCAAATTCAGAAAGTTGCTTTCAAAGGAAAGAAACCCTCCCATTGAAGAAGTTATTAAGACTGGTGTCGTTTCACGATTTGTCGAATTCCTTCGTTCTCCTCATACACTTGTCCAATTCGAGGCAGCATGGGCTCTTACAAATATCGCATCTGGTTCTGCTCAACAAACCCAAGTTGTCATTGAAGCTGGTGCCGTTCCAATTTTCGTGGAATTACTAGCAAGTCACGAACCAGATGTTAGAGAACAAGCTGTTTGGGCTTTGGGAAATATTGCTGGTGATAGCCCATCATGCAGAGATTATGTTTTGGGTTGCGGTGCTCTTAAGCCTCTCCTCGCCCTTTTGGGTGACAGCAGAAAATTGAGTATGCTCCGTAATGCTACCTGGACTCTTAGCAACTTCTGCCGTGGAAAGACACCACAACCTGACTGGACCACCGTAAGGACTCCTACTCTCCACCCTTTATTATGCTAAGACTTACATTTACAGCAGATCTTACCCGCTCTGCCAGTTTTGGCTAAACTTGTTTATTCTTTGGACGATGAGGTTTTGATTGATGCTTGTTGGGCAATTTCATATCTGTCCGATGGCGCCAATGATAAGATCCAAGCTGTCATCGAAGCCGGTATCCCTCGTCGTCTCGTGGAATTGTTGATGCACGCCTCTACCTCTGTTCAAACTCCTGCCCTTCGTTCTGTTGGAAACATCGTCACTGGTGATGATGTTCAAACCCAAGTTATCATCAACTGCGGTGCTCTCCCAGCCTTGTTGTCTCTCTTGAGCTCAGGAAAGGACGGTATCAGAAAGGAAGCCTGCTGGACCATCTCCAATGTCACTGCCGGTAACTCCACCCAGATTCAAGCAGTTATCGATGCCAACATTATCCCACCTCTCATCCACCTCTTGTCCAACGGTGACCTCAAGACCCGCAAGGAAGCTTGTTGGGCAATTTCCAATGCTACCTCCGGTGGTCTTCAAAAGCCAGAGCAAATCCGTTACTTGGTTAACCAAGGTTGTATCAAACCACTTTGCGATCTTTTGGCCTGCCCGGATAACAAGATTATTCAAGTCGCTCTTGATGGCCTTGAGAATATCTTGAAGGTTGGTGAGATGGATAAGGATGCTGCCGGAGAAGGGACTGAAAGCATTAACCGATACGCTTTATTCATCGAGGAATGCCATGGCATGGAGAAGATCCACGACTGCCAAACCAACGCAAACGAAGAGATCTACATGAAGGCATACAATATGATTGAGAAGTACTTCTCTGATGAGGAAGAAGGTGCTGATGATGGTCAACCACAAATTGCTGGTAATACCTTCGGTTTCGGTACCAATGGAGAACAATCTGGTAACTTCAACTTCGCCAATGGTGGGGATTCGATGGACATGTAAACTCTTCAAAGAGTCAACACATCCTCTAGCTTTTAGCTATTCTTTCTATCCAGAAAAATCCTCTAATACGACTTCTAATAACAAATTGACATTGTTGTCATGAACAACAGATCGGACCTTAAAGTTCTGGCCCCGATACTACTTTTCAATCTGCGACTGCGAACCAAAACCACGTCAAATTTTTATCCACCCTGAAGCACACTTTTTCCCCCACGATGTGACCAACGATCAGCAAAAGATTCACCATCATGTATTTCCCCTTTCTTACTGTTCTTAAACAACCCCGGCACGTCAACGGCGTTTTTGCTTACTCTTTCTATGAGGGTTTTTAACTCGTCTGTTTTTTTCTTCCCCAAATTCAAAGTTTTTGCGACATCGAGACATGGTAGCTTGAAAGCGACATGATTCTCTCCCGGAGTTAAGATGAATGATTTTTTATGCAAGTGACACATTAGTATGATACGATGTGTGATGAGAATGGTAGCTTGAAAGCTCCTACTCTGGATGAGATGATGTGATAAGTTTTGAGATGATTGATGGATCATCTGAGTGGATAGGCATATTGTGATGCCATTCAAGTAGGGGGTAAATAGAATTCGTGTCTGAGAGGAAACGACGAGAGAATGGAGGTGGTGGGGGTGGATAACATAACATCACAAACAAGATATCATATGAATAAATGGTTGATTGACTATACTTGATTGATTTTTTGTTTGTCTCATATATGTGATTTTGATTGTAATTGTAATCGTACTTGTGATGTTGAATGGTATCTCTATTGTACAACATAGTGACTAGGTACAGCTAGGTATGTTATCCCCATCAAGCTTTACAACTAGTAATTAGCCCTACTAGAAATGTGAAGGACTGCATTATCATCATGTCATCATCATATCATCATCAAATTTCAATTTATTCATTTCGTTCTCTATACCTCTACCAATACCTCTACCAATACCTAATTCTGTACCTAAACCTAAACCTAAATCTTAATCTGACCTATCCATACGCCTATGTATGTATGTATATATGCACAAACACACCTAGTACCTAGTACCTTGTACAATTCACCCATCTGCTCCGCACGCTAGCTAGCTCCCGAGGTCTCTAGAGATAGATAGATAGATAGATAGATAGATAGATTCTTGAGAGGGAACATAAACATAACACAACACACCAAAAAATAAAATAAAATAGAACGAAAAATAGAAAAAGAAATAGAAAAAAAAGAGGCTTGTTCTTCATCATTTCTTTATAGCTATTTCCGTTTCTGTTTATGTCTGTCTGTCTGTCTGTCTGTCTGTCTGTCTGTCTGTCTGTCTGTAGGTAGGTAGGTAGTACTCTGTTGTCCTGTCTGTCTCTCTGTCTTTTTGTCTGTCTGTCTCCAAGCACGTCTACATAGTCTATCCGACCACGCGCTCACTCGATGCCGTAATATGATTTTATTCAAATATATCATGCTCGTGCCGCTGTGGAGATGAAGAGAGGGGGGGAATAGAGAAGGAGGAAACGGGCAAAAAAGGTAAGAAATGGAAAGAAAAAAGGATGCCCGAATTGAAGATGGAAGACATTTCAAAGTCTTCTCATATCCGTCTTCGTCCTGAATGTCGCCCCAAATGCCCAAACAGGCTGGACCAAGCCAAAGCAAGTAAGTCAAAGCACCTTCTCTAAACCACAGCTTCTTCATCGATTCCCCCATTTTTCTTAATAACCTTATCCGCCTCCTTCTCAAAATCCTTCAACACTTTCGCTTCCGAACTTATAATTCTACTCCCATCCCCCTCTACCCCCCTATGATTATCCGCCATGCCGCTATCTCTTCTTCCTTCCGCTAAGCTCGTATTGTCAATCAGATCCCGCGCGCGATCAGAGAGTCCAACGATTTTATCCTGTTCCTCAAATCGATCGACGACCTTACTCTTGCCCAGCTGTTTCCGTTCTTCCTCGCTTGTTTTTCCGCTACCAAAGACGCGGGCCAGCTCCGCGCATGCTTCTTCGTAGCAGCGATCTGCGGCTTCGGGGAATTTGAGGGGGATTGGGTTTTTATCGAAAGCGTGGGGGACGCAGTTTATCAGGCCGCCTTTGACGGATTTGCCGATTGCGGAGGAGGAGAGACGTTCGCCAAAGGCAACGCCTTCTGCGTTTAGCATGTCGTATTCGCAGGTGTAGAGGACGATATCTTGGGGATAGGCGTCGCGGAGAAATCCATCTGTGGCGGCTGCCGGGGAAAGATAGGGATCGCGGAGATCGATGGAGTCGATGGGGTTCATGTAAGATTGATCGAAGAGACGGGTGAGCATTGGAGGGAGGTTCTTTTCTGGGGCGGGATTTGTAGCACGTTTCTCATCGCGGGTTTGACGGAAATCAGTTGGGGGGTAGAAGGAAACTATGGCGCGGAGAGTGAGGTCAGGGAGTTCTTGGGCGATTTCTAGAGCGGTGGGCTCGAGGGAGGGGATTTTGGCGATGGATGTTGTGGATTGGTTTCGGCTTTGAGGTTCGCCTTGA